TGTGTTTCGCAGGCCGTATGGAGCTCAAGCAGGTTTGTGGAGAGCCATCGGTAAGGTGTTGGAGGCGGGCGAGCGTCCGCTGTCTCAGACCGCTGTCGTGAAACTGCATTCTCACGTCGAGCCGACCGACATCTGGGAATCATACCGTGGATAAGCTAGCTTAATCGGCAGCCGAGAAAGCGAGGTTACCGGCGGATCAAAGGTTCGGAGTTGTGGATGCTGAGCGGAGAGCGGCGCTGCTTCGCACACGATGAATGAGATCGTCGCTGGAGGCTCTCGCGGACAGCTTGGCCTTGGCAAGGAAAGGACAGGCTCCGAGCCCGAAGCTGCCTCTGCGCCTGCCGAGCGCGTGCCTCCATCGTCCGCCTCGCTCCCTGCCGGTGCCCGTGGCGCCCGCCCCGTCGGCGGTGGCAGTGCTCGGGTGCGCCCACGCTCTGTCCGAGGACGGCCAACGCCCCGAGGCTCGCCCGGTTCCCGAGGCTACTCGTACGGAGCTGCTCAGTAGTCCTCCTCCTCCTCCTCCTCCTCCCGAAAATGTTCCTCCAGGGGGTTGCAAAACGGCTGGGGAGACAGGAGACACATGGTCCTAGAGCTTGGCCAGACTTTTGCCCAACGCGTGGCCACATAGGCGCTTCGCTTCAAGAAGGCAAGGGGCGGCTGTGGTTCGCAGCAGGCGTTTTCGATAAGACGGTTAGGAGCATAGCTTCGGGCCAACAACGAGGTCTTCTGGTTCACTCCTTGACCGCGTGACCGAGGGATTGTCCAGGGAACCGCCCCGCTAGGAGGGCAGCCTCCGGTCAGAGGAATACCGATACGTTTCTGCTTCAAGCGAGGGCAACGAGCGGCACCTGCGCACGAAGAGCGATGGCGGTTCTGCACGAGCCTCCCAGACAGGCACGGGCGGCAGCTCCCCACCTCGAAGCACGCTGCACCACATCTACCAGAGGGGGCGGCCCTCCACGCTTCGGGCGACCCTCCGCACTCGTCTGCAACTCGCGCGGCGCAGAGGGGGGAGGGAAATGAAGGGAGCTCGGAAGCGCGGGAGGGAGGAAGGGAGGTGAGGAAGGGACTCCGGCCTCTCGCTGCCGACGAGGGTGGGGCACGCGAGAGCTGCCAACCCTCAGCGAGTAATAGCGAGTAGACCACTGCGGCAAAGGCTCCGCGGCTGGAGCGAGACGACTGCGCACACAAGGTGACCACCCGAGTCCGCAGCCAGTCTCGTCTGACCCCCGCCACCCAGCGGAACTTGCCCCGACGGCTCACCTTTGCAGAATGTTGAATGTTCATGCAACCCCTGAAGCAGAGACACGCCGACAGAGCTACACTGACATGGAACGAAAAAGAAATCCTCGAACCGCGCGTCGTACAGCACCTCACTGGCTCGCCCACGCACAGCTCTGGTCCGCTAACACTGGTCGAAGAACGTACCAAACGGTCGTGCCAAGATCGGGGCGGCACGTGGGATCCCATTCTTGATCAACGCGTCATGCTAGTCGATCGCCGAGCGGGAAATTGTACATGACACGCACGCGCGCACATATGCCAGATTCCATCGGACAGTGGCGCGGCCGCAGCTGCACGCACACCCAGACAGCTACACATAGAAACACAGACACAGACGGACGGAAAGACAGACAGACAGACAGATAGACAGACAGACAGACAGGCAGGCAGGCAGGCACACACTCACACACACGCACGCGCGCGTATCACACGCGACAAGCTACACTCAACTCACGACATACGACATTATACTAAAGCGTACAAGCGCATACACTCAAACTGCTCCCTCCGAAGCCATGGTGAGAAGGCACTCGCGGCGGACTTCGGGGTACAGAAGCTGCGTCCCAAGGCGGATGATAGACACGCTGATTTTTCTTTTTGGGAAAACAACCGGTGCGAGGCCGAAGAAAGGCTATCGAAACGAGAAACAGCCAACAGGAGGTCAGACACCGCTGACACGATACCGAAAGCTAAAACCGAAACTCAAGCTTATCTAATCCCGAGCTTACCCTGACCCAGGTTGATCTAAACGGCGCTGGACCAAGCTCACTCTCGCAACAGTGAGCAAGTATTCGCTCACGTGAGCTGAGCTGGCCACGTGGCTTCCCTGAGGACGGCCAGGAAGTCAAGCACCGAAAGATATAGACCCCCAGAGCAACGGTTGGAACACAAGGCTCGCGCGTCTGCCCTCACACGCACGCGGCCGGGCCTTCCGGATGTTCGCCGCGTGCCCGCACGCGGGCGCCTCGCGGGCGCCTCGTGCGCTGGCGAAGAATCTGCTGGGCTGTGGGCGGGGGGCGCGCGGCTCGGGGGCGCCGCGTGCGCTGGCGGGGCCCGGCGGACCGTAGTGCCCCACCGTGGGCGCCAGGTGGCCGCCTGGTGCGCCGAGTGGCGGCCGCGCCACACGAAGTGCACCTCGTGTGCCGCGCCACGCAGGTCGTTTCCCCCAGCTTGCACCACGCAGCCTGCACCTTTCAGTTTCCGTCGCGCAGATGTTTTCTTCGGAAAAACTATAGAATTTACCACGCTCCCGCCCGGGGTCTGCGAACGCATCATACAAGATGGCTCTTGGAAAAAAAACGTATCACAAAGTCCACGCGCTCGCGCACATGTCGAAAACATACCACCACGCAACAGCTGTGCAAGCACTTCAACACAAACAACAGCAAACATCGCACGTTCACTATGCATGCTTGCCTGTAAGAATCCCAACTGAAGCCGTAAAGAACTGGTCCGCTGGTCCCCCCTCTGTCTTGCCCCTGCACGCGTCCTCTATTGCGCATGTTTTACCTTGCTGCGCAAGGTTTCCTCTGCAATCCGCATGGCTTTGCATTTTGCCCCTACGCGCGTCCTCTGTTGCGCGTGGCTTCCGCTGCTGCGCATGGCCTCCTCTGCTAGCGTCCTCTGTTGCGCATGGTTTCCTCTGTTGCGCATGGTTTCCGCTTCCTCTGCCATGCGCATGTCTCCCTCTGCATCCGCATGGCTTCCCCTCCCATTCCAAACGATTCCTGTGACAAATCCAATGGCGCCCCAACAATCGCCCAACAATCGGCAAGCCCGGAAGTATAATATAAGCCATTTCCACTTCCCAGCTGCCAGGACGATGTCTCCATCGATGGGGCGAGCGCGGGAGGGCGAGGCCACGGCAAGACCAGCGAAGCTGAGACTGACAGCTGCTGCCAGCGAAAGCCGCACGCCTTCAAAGTTACTGCCCAGAGCCACCTGACAAAATCGTGCCACCGAGAAAGGGCAAGGAAGGAGCGGGAGGGGAGGCTTGAACGAGATGGCCACGACAGCCCATCAAGTCCGGCAACTTCGCCGTGGGACGCAGCATCCACTTGCGAAAAGAACCAGCAACTTCCACTTCCCAGCTGCCAGGACGACATCTTTTTCCATGGGGCGAGCGCGGGAGGGCGAGGCCACGGCAAGACCAGCGAAGCTGAGACTGACAGCTGCTGCCGGCGAAAGCCGCACGCCTTCAAGGTTACTGCCTAGAGCCACCCGCATCCCGCAGAGCAGACCTGGCCACGACAGGTGGCCGAAAACGATTTACGCACGGATATCCTGAAGCCGTGCATTGACCGTGCAGAAACACGAGGAAAACCCCGCGCGTCACCCCTGACATGCTTCAAACGCATGGTGTTTTGCGGCATTCTGCGGCGGCGGGAAGGCGAACGCCCGCCAACATGGAAGGCACCGACCACCACAGGGAGACAACATTCAAACAAAAATGCTGGATTTGATGAGGCAGAGGGGGTGACGCACGGGAAATACTGCGTGTTTAGCAGCACGCACGCTGGCCGAATCCAACTAAATTCGTAGAGCAGCATTCATCATCCAGTCTTCTCTGAGCGCATTGGCCGAGTGCGTCGTGGCATAGGCGGCGGCGCGAGCAAACTGAGGCGAGCATGCCGCGGCAAGTTCTGCACGGCGAGCTGCCGCGCCCTCGTTCCGACCTTGGGGGGTGAGGCGAGGGCGCGCCAGACGACGAGCAGATGCCTCTCTTGCCAGAACACGATTTACAAAAGTTGGGAAAGGTACCTGCGTTCCAACAGGTCACGGATGTGGGCTCCTTGAAAGGTGTTCCGAACTGGCACAGATCCATCTTGTGGAGTCTGCAAGAATCGTGAGAGAGAAGCTTTACTATTGCAGGCGCACGCCAGAGAAGCGAACCCCGCTTGTTCTCCAAAAAAACATGGCAACCGATCTGAATGCATAGCCGGATGAGCCAGCAGGAAAAGTGGAACGAGCGGCTGCCTAAGCGGAGGCGCTGCAAACGGGCCCCTGATAGGCCGGGCTTGCCCATCGCAAAAAGCTTGGAGCGCAAAGAACCCCTCGGCGCCTGCGACCAGGACGCGCACGGAGTGCCGAGCCACGCCGACCACGGTTTTGCCCAGCAACCAGCCTCGGACCGCAGACTCGGAGGTGGAATCGATGTGATCCTCGGCAGCCCCATGCGCGATGTCCAGATCCAGGCAACCGTGGCCCAGGTCGCGGACGCGCTGCGAGATGCGGCCCCGCCCAGCGAATATCTCCAGGAACATGCAGCTCCTCCACTTGTCGGCGCCCGCGCGGCAACGGCGACATCGCCGCCGCAGGTGCAGCCTCACGCCTGCCGGCGGCGCGGTCAGCGCCGGCGGACTCGCCTGGCCGCTGGGGCAGCGGGCCCTCCCTGCAGGCGGGGTAGGATGGCTGCTGGCAACAGGGTGGCGACCAGCGGCAGCCCCTGGCAGCCCCGCAAGACGCCCAGGAAGTTGTGCTCCGCGACGTCCCCGAACAGCAGCACGTCGGGCTCCACCTTGGCTGCCTCCTGCAGGAGGCGCGTCTCCCTGCCGTGCCGGCGCAGGGAAAACTGCGTGGTTCATAGGGCCCGCCGCATCACCTGCTCCGGGCCCTGGCGCCCGACAGCAGGTCCTCGCTGGCCCCCCCCCCCCGCGGCGGGGGGGGCGCAGGCGCGGCTGCAGATGCGTCAAGCCCAGGGCGTGACAGGCGTCCACAGAGAGCCGATCAATCGACATAAGCTGGAAGTCCCATGGCAGGCCATCTCCCGCCACTACCCTGAGCGCCTCCAGCGCGGGCTCCAACCAGGGGGCCCAGTCCACGAGCACGCTCTCGTCCCAGAGGTCGGTCTTCCTGGGGAGCTGGAGGTCGGAGTCGTGCAGCAGCAGCCCCCAGGGAGTCGGCGCCTGGCCGAGGTGGGCCACAAGCGGCACCGGGCGGCGGCCCGCGAGCCGGGAGGCCTCCTGCGGTTGGAGGTAGGCCGCGAACGACATCATCACGAACAGGCCCATGCGCGGCTGCCCCCAGGCCGCCAGCGCCCCCGCGATGGCGATGGCGGCGCGGCGCGGAAGCGGCAGCCGCATCCGCGCGGGCACCCGCCGGCGCCAGCCCACCGCGCGCCGCGTGGCCCGCGGCGGCGCCTGAGCCGCCCTCTTGTGCAGGGCCAGCGTGCAGGGCGCCAGCGCCGCCAGCGGCGCCGAGCCCTCGTCGGGGACCCAGCCCTCGAGGTAAAGCGAGTTCAGGTAAGCCACCAGGGCCGCGCCCGTCCCCGCCTCGCCCGCCCAGTCGGTCGACGTCGCGAGGCAGAACTGTAGAAAAGCCCGGAAGTGCACCTGATAGAGGCGCTCCGTGCCCGGCCTGACCGCCGTCCGCTCCAGCACCGACAGGCCGCGTGAGGCCCTCCGCGCTCTCGCCACCTGGCGCGCCGCGGCGGCCCTCTATTGGCGGTCGGCCTCGCGACGAAAGGCCGATGCCCCCGCCGTCGGCCCCCGCCCCGGCAACCGAGGGCAAAGCTGGCAGGCACCGATAGGGCCCAGTGAACCAGCCAAGACGGCCACGAGACAAGGAGTCGGCGGGGTTGAACTCGCTGCGCGTCCAACGGATGTGAATAGTACAATGAGAACAAAGTGCCATATAGCAAAGCTTATTCAAAGTACGCCGTAAATGAATAGATGCAGCTCTACCTCAGCCCAAGGCCAAAGGTATGTTGTCTACGAAAGACAAGATATGCTTCCCGACAGCGGCTGCGGACCTCAGAATGTGCTTGATCCCCAAGATGCTCGCGCCCCCCATCCAGGGCCAGGATGTTGTCGGGCGCTACGACCCGCGACGCGATGACCGGCGCACAGCGGGGCCCCTCGAAAAACTCCGGGGGGACCTCCATGAACTCCCTCGGGCGCGCCCTGATGAACGACTCGAGCCCCTCGACGTCCAGGCCGCGCAGGTCCGCAGGCAGCGAAGCTGCATTGGATTTGTAAGATGGCAGAGGCGGGAGCTGGAAGGCTCCCTGTCTGGCTTTTTCCGCGCCCGCCACGCGACGCCGCCGCCTCTCGCTCGGGCGGCCGCGCTGCGCCGCGACGTCCGGCTGCGCGGCCCGCGCGGCGACGCCGACTCCGAACTCGAATGCGTCGCTCACCCCGGCGACATCATGCCAGGGGCTGCTCGGGTCCTTCTGGGGGAGGGGCAGCAGTGAGCGCACCAGGCGCAACTCCTGGCGCACCGAAGGCCAGATGCGCGAGGCGGTGGACAGGCCAGCGCCCCTGCACGGGCACACGGCGTTCAGCGCGCACAACAGCTCGCGCCGAATCAAGCAGGCCCAAGTCACGCGGCCGATCAGGACCTCCAGTATCTTGCTCGAACAGCGGCCGCGGCGCAACACTGTGTCCAGCGCCGCCCTGAGCCGCCGCAGATTGCGCCGCTTGATCGACGGCCAGCGGCCCTGCCTGAGCTCGAGCCCCACCAAGACGGCATCGGTGGGGGCCACTCACTCCTCGTGGACCGTGGGCCCCCAGTCCCGCAGCACGGCGGACACGTCATCGCGGCGTCGCGCGACCAGCGCCGGGTCGCGGCCGAAGACGTAGAAGTTGTCGACGTAGCCCGCGGCGGCAGTGGCAGAGGCGGCCAGCCACGCTCGAGCGGCCGTCCGAGAATCCCGCCACCGCTATCGCCCGCATGGTGACGGCCTGGCAGAGACGCATCGCCCACGACCACCCCATGGGCAGGATGGTCAGGCACGGAGCCAGGTTCGCGCCGGCGGGGGGGGGCTTGCCGCCCAGCTCGGTGATGCCAACAAGGGTGGACGACAGCGTCAGCAGGGTGAAGTAGTCAGTACTCCAGGCCCGACATGGGCCGCAGACGGTAGAAGGCATTATCCAAGTCCCCGCTCGCCACGCATAGCGGCGCGTCGCCCGACTCCGCGGCCGATGCCGCGGCCGCCGTCGGCAAGCGAGTGGGTGGCGCTGGGTGAAAGAAGGCGCTCGCGTAGCGAGCGTCGAAGACGACGCGCTGCTTCCCAGACTTCTCCCGAACGAAAAAGACACCAATCATGTGTTTTGAAATGGAGGCCACCTTGAAACGCAGCATCCAACACTGATGAAGCCGCCAAACAAATTGCAATGCAAAACTGGCTCCCGAGCCAACCGAGGGCCAACGAAGGGTCCGCGAGGGCGTGAACGTCGGGCTCCGAGCAGCGCCTCGTCGGGCGCCGTGAGCAAGTTATGTCGCCAGTCCCGTGTCCAATCAGCGCCATCCTGGGAGAGGCAGCCCAGAAGGTCGGCCCGGCAAGACTCCGCCTCAGGCCAGGAGACCAGCTCCTTGGAGTAAGGGGCCTGGGCGCCGACTTCGTCGGAGTAGACGGTGCGGCCGCTGAGGAGCTCGCGAAGGGCTTCTTCGCAGAAAACCTGGGTCGCTCGTTGTCGCGCCCATGCCGAGGTAGAAGTCCTCTAAAAACTCGAGGCTGGTCTGCTGCCCCAGGTTGTCAGGCGCCGAAAGAGGTTCACCAGATTGGCCGTGCGTGCTGTTGAGCGCGTCTATCCCATTGTCGGCCCTTTCCAGAAGCACACCAGCACGGCGATGCCGCTGCGCACTGCTCGGCAAGGGCGGCAGTCGGCCACGCGCGCAGCGCGGCGAGCCGCGCGAGGTAGTGGAAATAGAGCCCGACGGCGGGGGTCGCCAGTGGCGGCAGGATCGCCGCGAAAAAAGGCCCGGTGCTCGAGCCTCGCCGCAGTGGGTGGCCCCGCGCCCCGCTGCGCGCTCCCACTCACCCCCTTGCGTCGCCCTCATCCTTGTCTTGCCGCCATTCTTGTCCTTGTTATTGGGGGCCCGGGCGTTCTGATGCTCTTCGCGCGCCTTGCGCCTCTCCTATGCCACCGCGTACTCTTTGGCAAGCTCGCCGCTGGCGCAGGCCAGGAGCTGGGGACGCACGCGCGCGCTGCCTCGGTTGGCCGAGGTGCCGTAGAAGAGGTGGGAGTCATGCGACTCGTCGGCTTCGTGGTGAACCTTTCCCGCCACTTCTCCCCCTGTGCTTGGATGCTGCGGCAGATCATTTCCGCCGCCGCGACGTCTGGGGCGTTGAGCTGGTCGAAGCAGACCATCTGCTCCAGGTGGAAAGAGCCGCGCTCGTGCTCCGCGACGCCCGCGTCGGTCTGAGCGAGGCGGCCCCGCGGCGCCATTTGCTGCGGCGTCCGAGGCGGGAGAGGCCGTTGTCCTCGATGAACTGGCAGACCCGCATCGTAGCGCAGGGCCTGCTATGGGACAGTCAGGCCACTGGTGCTCCACCAGTCGCGCCACCGCCTCCCCGAAGCCGACCTTTCTGGAGCCCAACGCTTTGTAAAGCACTGGCTGCGCGCGCGAGTCCGCCACAGGGCCCGCTGGGGCAGCAGAGGCAGGCGCCGCGGGCAGCGGAGCGGCGGGGCGGGCGCGGGCGCGGGCGCTGGGGCCGCAACCGGCGCGCCGCCAGGCGGGGCCGGCGCGGCAGGGGCACGGGGGCTCCTGGCGCCAGCGCAGGGCCGCCGAGCACCGCCACCACCAGTCCAGCCACGCCCGCCGCCGGGCAGCAAAGCCTGCCGCGGGAGACGCAAGCCCGCCATGAGCCGCCGCTGGCGCAGTCGCCAGCGCCCTGCCAGCCGCTATCGGCATGATGGGACCAGCGGGGGCAGGGAGGCCGAGTCGGCCAGCCGCAGCCACAGCGGCCGTCAGCAGCGTGGCTGGCGTCGGCGAGCTGCGGAACCTGTAGCACCGCGCTCCCGGCGCCCCACGGCTGCCACCCGCCGCGCCGCCTCGGAAAATATCCCATCTCGCGACGTCGGGCGAGCCCACGTACGCCTCCTCGCACTCGTCGCCGTCGGGAGTGACGATGCTAGCGGCGCCTGGCTGACCAGGCGGCACTGGCACGACCGGCGTCTCGTGAATCAGCACCGCCCCGCCGACGCGGCGCTGCGCCGAAGAAATCCCCAAACGCCGCGCCGGCCGCGGCCGCGGAGGGGAAGGCCGGCGGCCCAGCGGCCGCCATCACAGCTGCATGGCCTTCGTGCGAGCCTCCCGCGCCTGAGCCCGAGCCTCCTCCAAGTCTGGCTCGGCCGCAATCCGCGGCGCCGCGCCGCGCGCGACCGCGATCCGCCCGCCCGCCAAGCGCCAGCACGCCGCGCGGCGGCGCCGGCTCCAGCGAGCCCGCTGGCGGCGCAGGCCAGCGCCACGGACCAGAGGCTCGGTCCCTGGCTGCTCGTGCCCTGGAGGCCCGAGCAATCGCGCCGCAGCTCCGGGCAGTGGAGCTGCGGGAGGCAGGAGCACGCTGGGCACTGGGCCTGTCCCTGGTCGGCCGCGTACACCGCCAGACCCGTGCTCAGCCCGCGGCCCACCTCCGACAGGAAGGCGCCAGCTGCGGCGGAAAGGGCCGCGAACATCCGGGCGGAAGTCGCTCGAGGCTTGAGCGAGATGGCAACGATGGCCCGTCAAGTGCGGCAACTTCGCCGCGGGGCGCAGCCTCAACTTGTGAAAAGAACCATCGAGTAGAGTAGTATAAAGGAAAACGGCAGAGCAGAGTGCACTATGAGTGGCGTAGAGCAAACAAGAGCAGAGTATAGTAGAGTAGAGTAGAACTGAGTAGAGTCGAACGTCGGTGGGGCGACGTAGAACAGGCTAGGAGTATAATCGAATAGAGTTAGGTAGAGGTGGAAGAGGGTAGTGGAGTCAACTCGGCTAAGTACATCCAATCCGGATAGAGCAGAACAGGGCATAATAGAGTACATGGGAGTATATGAGAGGCGGGTAGGAGTAGACTAGGAGTAGAGCAGGAGTACAGTAGAGTAGAGCAGGCGAAACGACAAGAGAGTAACAAAGTAGGTCGGGTAAGGTAGGGCAACGTCAAATCAAGTTAGCCGGCTCGAACGAAGGGCCCCGCCTACTCCCACCTGGATATTGGGGCTGCAACGCGCCCCCACCTCGCGAATCGAAGGAGCTCGCGCGCGGTCCCGCTTCCAAAGACTTGACGAAGGGAAAACTGCGCGGACCGCGCAGGGGCGGGAGCGGCAAAACTTACGATGGGCGCGGCGAAGAACAAGAAGCATGCGCCGCGCTGGCACAACAATGCCTTTTGTCACTCACAAGCTGCGCGGCGTCTGGACGAGGTCGGCATTTTCGCCCGATCTCGCGCGGCTGCTGCCGTTGTCGTGCATTCCTGCGAGCGAACCGCGCGCCGCGCCCGCGCTGGGGCGCCGCGCCCGAGCCGAATGCGCGCGGGGCTTGGGCGAGGGCGACAAGTCGCCCAGCAGTGGCGAGCGGCGAATCTGCGCCGCGCCGGGGCGGGAGCGCCGCGCGCCCGGGCAAAATCTGCGCGGCGCCGAGGCGAGAGCGCTTCGCCCGCTCGCGCGTCGACGAGAAGGCGCGCGAAAAATGCGCGCCGCGCTGGGGGCCGGAATTCGATTCTGTCGGAGAATGACCGCGGCGCACAACATGTCGGCCTTTCGCGCAGGATGTGCGCCCTGTCCCCGCCCCACCACGCACCTTGCAGCGCGGGCGCCACAGTGTCATGTTGAGACGGAAAGCGTGAACGTTGCATGGTTTTCATTTTTCATGGGAGGGGCCCGGATCTGGGTTCCTATCGGCCGGCCGGCTGCGGTGGAGACTAGTGGCATATACCAATAAGGCATGGGGATAGAATGGAGCAGGGCTGAGTTGAATAGGGCTAGTGGTGAAATAGAATCGGGCATTCTAGAATATGCTATAATCGGGCGAGATAGAGCAGGCTAAAATAAAGCAGAGTAGAGGGGAGCATGCTAGAGCAAAAAACAGAATACACATGAATAGTATATAACAGAAACAGAATAGAAGTGGAATGGGTTTAGGGTGGGGCAGGGTCAAATTTGGCAACACAAGACACAGTGTAATAGAGCGTGGTAGATGGTTAAGCCAAGTAAACAATTTACTTAGTTTTACCATCTATCATACTCCAGTCTAGTCTAGAGTATAATAGAAGGGCGTTTAGCAGAACCGAGTAGAGTAGGGTCGAGGAGAGCATATACGAAAGTAAAGCAGGAGTAGAGGAAGGTAGGAGTAGGGTATACTACGTTATATTAGTTCAAGGTAAAGACAACTCTCCTGGACGCAAACTTTTTGGTTCATTCCCACCCACCCACCCCAACGCATAAGTAGTACCCGAGCCTCGTAATAGAGCAGGGTAGAGAAGAGCACAGCCGACTTGAGCAGACGGGGGCATGAGCTGGTTTCGCCAGCGCTGGCATCGCCCCGCTGGTTTCGCCGATGGCTGGTTTCGCCGGCGCTGGTTTTGCCGACGCTGGTTTCGCCGACGCCGGTTTCGCCCCGCTGGTTTCGCCGGCGGCTGGTTTCGCCGGCGCTGGTCGGGTCGGGCGGGCGGGGCATGAAACTGCGGGGCGCGCTCGACCCAACGCGCGCGAACCCTGGCGGGCGGGTCGAGTCGGGCGGGCGGACCCTAGGGGGCGGGTCGGGCCGGGTCGGGCGGACCCTAACGGGCGGGTCGGGTCGGGCGGGCGGGGCGCGAAAGTGCGGGGCGCGCCAAGCCGAGCACGCGCCAACCCTCGCGGGCGAGTCGGGTCGGGCGGGCGGACCCTTGCGGGCATGTCGGGTCGGGTCGGGCGGGCGGGACATTAAACTGC